TTTCTCCTGGTTAAGTCGGATTTCTCAACCGGCACTCACTTCCTTGTAAAACAAAAGTTCGAAGTAGCGTTGCAGATCTCCCCGTATATATTGGATCATAACGCAGATGCTCCCTACACCGAACGTCGGACACGCCATTCGTGTCCCCCGTCCATGCCATCAACCAAACAAGCATTACACACTTCCTGCCATTGCAAGGCTCCATGCGAACAGCCTTCACTTAAGCGCTGAAACAGAATATACATCCAATACACCATGCACGCAGGCCCTCCCGCTGCTCAGCCCTGTGCTCTGATTCTCCTGGTTAAGTCGGATTTCTCAACCGGCACTCACTTCCTTGTAAAACAAAAGTTCGAAGTAGCGTCGCAGATCTCCCCGTATATATTGGATCATAACACAGATGCTCGCTACGCCGAAACCCCCCCCCTCTCAAACGCAGTAACTGCAATCCACTCGGTCTGAGAGTCCACCCTGAGTAGTCGGACATTCGCGCAGCAGTCCTCAACAAACGACGTAGCAGACCCGGTAAGTATGTTAACTGGAAGGGCCCCGCCACACTTCCTGCAAGTGCCTACGTCGAAGCCAGACGCCCGCAAGAGTTTGGAAATTGTCTCAGCACCAATCCTCCACCGGCCAAATGTGCGAGCAGCCGCGCACTGCCTACAACGAAGCAAAGTCGAGCGCTTCTCCCAGGTGGAGCTTGCGCGTAGTGCTTGCACACCGCTAAGCGCACCGCCCCTTTGTCACAAGCCAAGGCTGTCCCCTCCCTGATATGGAACACCTCCACGCCACTCCAGTCCCTGCCGCGAGCAACACATCACCAGAGATTCAGATGCTCGCTCCCTAAGTCTCTGCGTTGACGCTTGGAGCCCTCATTCAGCGGCACGAGCAATCCTGACTGCCGGACAGAGGAGTTACGAAAAGCAACTTCACCCAGCAAGACGACGTCCCGCGCATCCAAAGGCGGCATCGTGCGGCGACCCGCACACCTCAAAGCTGAGAGAGCCATGCTCCTACGACCCAACCAAGCTCGGTCTGCGCAAGAATCCCAACACTTGTCGAACGCCCTTCCTGCTCGCTACGGTATCAAGTGAGCCCACACCGACCAATTCCGTTTCACGCGCGCGGTCATGCTCCTGGTCACACGCGCTACAACACAATGCCTAACAAAACCTACCAACCGCAACTGCTACAGCCAAGAGAGCCATACACGGCGCACCGCAAAACCTGAATTGCACGCACTCATTTGTGCATCACTTCCCTGCACAGCGGGAGCGCATTTGCAGTTGTCCAGAGAGGCATGCAGAAATCGCGTCCCCCATCCGGCCGGCCAGTAAACACGACACACCTCCTACCAATGCGATGCTCCATAGGCACTGCTTTCATGTAAACTGACACAGAATATATACGCTCCCTATGTCAAGGAAACAACCTCATGCTGCTCAACGGGGTTTTGTTCCTTCTGGTTTTGGCAGCGTCTCCACCGTTACCCTTCACTTCCTTCCATCGCACCTGCGTAATTGGCCCCCATGCCCTGGGCAGTTGTTCTGTATAGCCAGCACACTCCTCGTGTAAAGCCCGACTGCACTTCCTACCCGTCAGGTCCCTCGGCTCTGAAGTTCACATTGGTCCCTGACAGCAGCATTCATACCGAGTGAAAAGGAGTCCTGCGCATCCGTTGAGCACCAGAGGCACCCCGAAAGGCGCCAAGTGCACAGGTACATGGCTTCAGTTTTTCCGTCCATTTACTCAACATTACAAAAGAACCCTTGCACGGGACGTCCAGTGAACCGCGTTTCTTTTCAAGCAATCCGCTGTACATAACTGCTCACCCTTGGAACCCACTGCAACCCTACTGTAACTCAAAGGCCCACTGAGTCGAAGACAAGCAGAGAACTGGTCCACAGCAGAGGAACAAGCTCTCATCCCTTGGCGCAGCATCCCCTTCCTAAGACATGCAGAAGACGCTGATAGCCCACTATTTGCTCCACGGGTGAAAGCTTACAGAACATGTTTCTTTGCCACCTTCTGCCAGCTCCCTAAATGGGATGCCCTTGCTATTCCTTTGCTTTCGCTCGTAACTGCGCCGGTAGAGCACTGCAAAGCACTGCATGACGACGAAAACAACCATAAGCGCAAGGAAGAGAACGTTCCCCTTTGTGGACAAAAAATTCTGGGGTGGGCTTTCAGTTACACTGCTAAGAGGGCCCAATGTTTGTGGGGTTGTCCCATCTTGGGAAAAGCCCGGCTGTAAGTTGCCCTGCTTCATGTTGCTTGTCCCATGGGGCATACTCGCTTCGGCGGCAAAGAAAAGCAAGGAAATGCATTCAAACTACCTACAGCGTCATATTTCAAAGGGAGCAAAAAGTCCTTGGTCGAAGGCAGCACCTCTATCGAGCCTACACCACGCACCTGTCCGATGGTCACACGGCAACTTGCCCAGGAGACGGCCAGGCGAGCCCTGCTTGTTTGTGAAGAGTTGGCACTGAATTTCCTAGACCGAAATAATGAGAAAGAATATCCTTTCTATCCTTCCAAGTGAAGGCGTCGTAGGGTAGACGCTGCATATGCTTCTCTACCACCGCCGTCGCAAAGCATTGCTCCCAAATGACAGCATTGCTTTGGCAAGCCGCCACAGGTTAAGGGTTGTAGACCTTTTCCATGCTGCAGTTACATACTTCACAGTATTTAGAAGCGGTGCAACGAAGAAAACGTCCTCGAGTACCCGCTGGCGGGGTATTTCGCCCAATGCCCGCAAATGTCGTGACTGTCTACTATCCAGGTGACCCCACATATAGACGGGCCTGTTAGAAGTAGGTGCACGCATCGATGCTTCTGCTTCCGTTCTCCAGTGGAAAGTAGTTAAGCTTTTACCTGCCTCCCACTCATTGTTCATAGCGCTAGGCCCACAGCGCCAGTGCGCTCATTGCAAGTGGGCGTGAATGTGCTCCCATTTGCTGTTGCCTCACGGGAGGTGCTGCAGGAGAAGAGCCTCCACTCCCCACCTGGCCAAAGACCATGTGCCACTGCGCTCAGGTTGCTTGGATACAAAAGGGGAAGTTAGCTCCCTTTTGTGGAACAATTGTTGCAAGTGTTGTGACTCCATTGCAATAGCTGGCGTACTCTGGCTTGTGCACAGGACTCTCGTTAAACTTGCTAGCACTCCGTAGTTGAAAAGAGCGCCCGCGGGCTGCGAAAGCAAGGATGCCGCACCTGGGCGGCCTATCGTAGCGCATCGTTTACTCGTGAGGGTGCCCCTCTTTGGGCCAAAACGGGGCATTTTAGATGTTCTCCCGAAATATTCTATGCGTCCAGAATTCTCCTCTTTCAATTAGTGAGTGATGACGAAGATTTGCCCTCTGCGGGAGGCGAGAAGCAGCTGGACTCTTCGTCTCAGCATAGCCTCGTGCACGGCATTTGAGCAATGAGCTGAGTCCAGCACTGCTTGTCATAGCAGCATCAGCACAACAGTGGAGCGGATGGCCAGCTCCTTTTGGTGGCCTAGAATTGTCGTTGCAGCGAAGGGATTTTCCCTCATTTGTGCGAAATCTATCACGCGAAGACGAGGAGTGCGGTCGAAGTTGAAGTCTTGCAAAAACGGTAGGTTTCTACAACGGGGTGGTTTCGGCAGATTCCATAGTTTGTTTACAATCAGTCAGTACTGTGAAAGCATCTGTTATGGTTGGATAAGCTAGGCATGCATGCCCACTCCACCGCCGGTTCGTGTTGTGTTGCAGCAGGTGGGGTAGCCCAGTTAATCTCTAATCATGCGTGGCAGCTCCACGCTTTTTCGAAAAGCAGCATGCCCGAAGCTAGTTAGCGCCATCTGTTGTGAATTAATAGTGCGGCCTTGTAGCGACCATAAAATGGCAACCGCGAACTAGTCGAAGCCAGATGGAACTCACCACCCGCACCCTCATGCACTTTTCCTCCTCGATTCCAAACCAAATTCATAAAAGCAGATTGATTTCCTCCCTTGGTAGTATTGTGTTTATTAGTACAGCATTGCAATTCGCACCTGGTTGTTCTCTGTTCCCTGGCCTACGCCGAAAAACCATCATCTGATCCGAAGTTGCACCTGGCTGTCCGAAATCCACCCTGAATGTCTGCATGCGCTGACTTCCGTTATGTAGCTGGCAGCAGTTCCGAAGTGCATGAAGGCAGGACCGCAACGTCAGGCAAGGAACTACGGAAAACGACGTTGGGCACTCGCTGTCAACGCAAAGTGCTAGATTTTAGTGGACTCGCATGCTCTGCAAAGCGCCGAGGAGGGCGAACAGCCGAAGAGGTCCTTCATGATTTTGGTAAGGCCCTCATTGTTCGCTCTCCGTTCAACACGGTTGCTTACAGAATAGGTTTATCTCCAACGTGGATGCCGCCATGCCAATTACGTAGGTTTTCTAAAGCTGTTCAGACTAACAATGAAATATCCTCGAAGTCTCCCTACAAAAGGGCGGCAGCATCATTGCTTGGAGTGGCACGCCAAGGAGGCTGAGCGTACGGAAGAAAGCGTAACAAGTTGGAGATTTCGCAGAAAAGGTGAATACTAGGTTGAATCACAAAGGGAACACCAACCCGAGTGCAGTTTTGAGGATTGACGACGCGAGACAATTCCTAGCAATCTTCTTTTTATATTCATGTTGAAGACGTTTTATCAGACGTGCCAAGGCCAGATAATCGATTTGAAATGTGCAATGCCTGTCATAAAAGAAGTGTCAGCAATTCCTTCCTCGTCAGCAGACAACGTAAAGCCCCTTTTGCAAGTACCGTACGCTGTTGCTTGACTCCGTAGAAGCAGGCGTTATTTGTCCTCTATGCAACGCGTCAGGCTTCTGAAAGAGCAGCATCCCAACCACTGTCAGTGGGAAAGGAATGTTGTCAAGATAAGTGGACGCAAGTGCTGGAGACGATATCAGAGGAGCCTTTGTCGCCCTTTGCGCACTTTCACAATCCCAGCACCCAAAATCTCAATATCTGGGTCATCTCCAAACCCGCTTCCTCCATTCTCAGCTGGGGCGTTGGGAGTGCCGTTCCTTCCCTTTTTGGTGCGACGGCATCCCACCATCTCGGCGACCTCAACTCTCCTCGTTGCAACTATTGGAGGTCCGCACATTCGCATGCAAGCACAACCAGGCCCCCTCTTCCTGTACGAACCAACACTGTAGGCAAATGCTGTACTTATGCTTGCGTGCCTGATGCCTATTTCGGCCAAGTTGCGTGTCCATACACAAACTCCCGACGGACCTTGTTACACTAGGCCCTTGGACCGGTGTGCCCAGGAGGCCTAGAGACTGGATTGAGGGTTAGTTCGTTTTGGAGAAAGTCTTATTTTCAGTCTCTTGAATCGATTGAAGCACTCCAGTGTCCTCTGAGAAGGTCGGCGACCTCGTCTACACTGACGATCCCTCGTCGTAAACTCCCCCCAACCAACGGAGCACACTCCCATTAGTACAGTGTATCTAAAGATGCTTTGCAATGAAATTAGAAAAACCCTTGGCCACGATTAAATCCGATAATGCCTCTCATGTCCTCCACTGCACGCAGTACACCATAAACGCTGCATCCTGCGCTCTACGCATTACCGTCAGATGGAGAAAGTAATGAAGTGCTACTCGTGAGGCGCACAATCGTTTCCTCTTGTACAAATGTTGCCCTTTTTGTAACCATACACCTAAAAATACGCGTTATCATACTTGTGGAAGAGCTACATCCCCCGCTTGTGGTTGATTCAAACGTAGTGCGAATGGGGCTGTCCGCTCGCTATACAGGATGACCAGCCCGGCGCACACCCTCGAGCCTTTAGAATTAAGAATTCCTCTTGATGTTCGTTATTGCCCTTTTTAGGATGCAGGGATCCTGGAGACTCCTAGCTGGTTGCGGCTTCAGCTAGACGCGCTTCCGTTTGTGGGAGTCGTGTGCCTACCCCTGCAGACATAAGTCTATAAATTCGCGAGAAGACACGGAAACGAATAGCAATCTCCAAGCAGGAGGAGACGCGGATAAGCACATAAGGCGAAGAAGCAGCAGAAATGGCGTTTGGAAGAAAGAAGACAGAGACGCCGGGGGGGATGGCGGCAAATGACGGGAACCGAATTGAACCATGGAGAATGGGATCTGCTGGATTTGGTTAGAAATGCGTCTGCTTGCAGTGTGTGTGTGTGTGTGTGTGTGTGTGTGTGTGTGTTTTGGAAGTGCAACTGCCTACTTTCCAGGCCTGTGCAGCACTTCTTTCGTTCCCGACATGCGTGGAGTTGCTTCCTTGTAGGAAGGTCTTTGCGATTAGGGGATTCATTTAAGCTAAGGATACTTGTGTACGGAATGTACAGACATGCGCTTCGTCTCGTGCTGTCTGTCTGTTCACTTTCAGGATCCCGTCTGAGCTCAACGCTGTGCTGGCTGGCTGCCTCCTCGCTCTCGTTTGCGGCATTGACCGTTCCAAGACGAAAGGAATGGCAAGCGGCAAATCGCATAGGCGGGAAATCCTTTACCCTTTGCAAATTGCGATTCGACCTCACACTTCGTGACGTAGGCAGTGCGCCAGGAATTTCTCTAAAGGGTGATGGCGCACTGGCTTCAAGGTTCGCGCAGGGTTTGTTGAGGACTTAGGCTTATGATATGTGTGGGTTATTCAGGGTTGATATATGTCTTGACTACATGTACGTTAAGCGCACACAGTACGCCCCCAACATGTACACCTCTCTTTCTCGTTGGATGAAGAAAGTCCCGAAATAGGGCGATTGTAGGGGGGTTTATTTTTATCTCGGAGTAAAGGAGGAGCTAGGAAGAAAAGGCCTCACATCTCCCCGTCTCCCGTATCTGTAGAAGACCCTGGCGACGGGGAACGGCAGCCATCCGTATTGTGTTCTAAGCTAGCGATTCGGCGTCGTCTTTCCGGTTGTCACAGCCTTAACGAGAGTGCGGAAAGGCATCTTTCCCCAGATTATTCCTTCCAGTCCCCCTCCATCGGAAGAAGAATGCATGCGATCTCCCCCGTTTGCCTGCTTGGAGAACCAGTTTTTCCGAGCAAAATCAAGCGAAGTGACGATGCATGACGAGAGCAAGCAGCTCAAGTCAAGTGGTGTGCTGGCTACATAGTGCTCTGTTGGTGCAGACTGCAGCGTCCACAGGGCCACGTTGAGTATGTTCCACACACACGAGTCGCTGAGACCCAGCAGGCAGTTTTCACTAGATGCGCCAATGCTGCCCAGTATTTTTGAGCTCTTTGGGCTTTTAGTAGGGGGGCATAGCTACCTTTGTTTCGGGCGAACGGGGAGAGAGTAAGCGAGGGGAAAACAGAACCTCGCATCAGTTCTGATGTCTATGTCCCATCGGGAACTACCCTCTCCCCGCGCACTGGAAGAATGAAGTTTGTCTTTCTGTGCCTTTTCCTCGGCAGATGTGTATTGTACTCTTCACTGAAGAGCGAAATGAGCAGTGCGGCGTGCACAGCAGCAAAAGCCGTAGCTAACATAAAAAGAAATGCATGACTAGTAAAGATGTCATGTTCCCTAATTAGACAGTCACTGAGGAGGGGGCTGTGCTGCCTTCACCGAGAAGGAAATCCCAAGGCCTGCAGTTCCCTGTCACAGTCAGCAATCCGTCCCTCAGCAACTCTACCCTTTTGCCGCTCTGCACAGCAGCCTTCATACGAAAAGAAAATGCTGCATGCCTGCAGCAGACATTCGCGGGCCTGAAGAACTAACTTGGCTCTTGTTTCCGAGCCCGTCGCATCAGATGTGTTGGCGCTGTCGACAACTCCTGCTGCGCTGCGGGTTGCTGCCGTTGCAGGATCTCCATCGGCCCACAGTGACCAGGCCCGTATGGCCTCCTCATCGGTATCCGCTTGGGACAGAAAATGCAGGAGAGAACCTTCAGTCACCAGGAGGTCTGCATGCTGGGTGCTGCACCGGCCGTGTAGTGCTGCAGCAGCCCGAGAGAGATGTTGGGAAACAGTCAACCCGACGCCATTATAAAGGGCAGCAAGTCCCCTGCAATAACGGTTGAGGCTTTCCGCAATATTCAGAAGAAACAAATTTCCGGGATGTGTATATGCCCGGACTGCAGAGAACAACTTTAGAACCGCCCTCCCCTCCAATTCAATGGTTTCGCTCTTTTCCACAGAACAAGCTTGACACAGACGCTGAGCACTTTCCTCTAACTTCCTAATAAGCTCCACCACGCGCAAAATCTCTCCTAGCTCGTAAGTATCACCGCACCCGCAGCAACGAATGTCGGGTGGATTAGAAGTCGGGGGTGTTGGGCCATTAGCAGATGCAAGTTGCTCCAGTTCTTCTGGAACCAATCTAATTGTGGGGTTGCCTTGAGGTGAAGACCCCAGCTTCGGAGCTTGTGTCGTACTATCGCTTGTACGAAGTTGCACGGGCTCCCACAAGTCCTCCCTCGGTCTGTACACGCAAAGCACCGGCAGCTGCAGCCGCCGAAGGCGGGCGGCCTTCTCGGGCCCCCTAGGGTCAACAGTGTGTACACAGCTGCTGGTTGCTCCGCCGGAGGAATCTTCAGCAGGTGATTTCTCACGATGAGAGAAACTGTCAAGGTATTCCTGGTTAGCATTTTCCAGGTTAAGAAGAACATTTGCTTCGGCCGTACCCCTTAAAGAAACGCAAGCAGCTTTAGGACAAAATACAGCGCGCAGCTGCAAATCAAACGCCTCAGCTGGAGAGAAGGATATAGAACAAGACTGGTCTGTCCTTTTCGCGCTGCTGTTTTTGCTGTCACTGGTGTTGCTGCTTCTGGAGGGACTTGCGGGGTTGCGTTTGTTGTCACTGCTGTTCCCTCTGTTGCTGCTGCAGTTGCTGTTCCCGTGGGCGATGACATTGGTGCTGCTGCACGCCCTATCGCTGCAAGAGCAACACAGTACGCAGGTACAAGTGAATGCATATTCAAGATACAGCTTTTTCCTCCTTTCATGTCTCACGGCAGCCGGGGAGACGTACGAAATGCAGACCTCTTCGCCACACATGATAGACCGAGAAGCGATGACAGCTATTTCCAAAGCCCCCTCGGGACCCCCAAACACGATCGCAGCATTGGGGAAGCAAGAATGGTTAAATTGACAAAGCGGTTGGCCATAAAGCCCAACTGCCACTTCCTTTCCGAGATCACAGCAAGGGCATCCCCCTGAGGGAGAGCCCCCTTGAGTCCTGGAATCCCCTGAATTCGTTATTGAGTGTACGTTTGCAGAAAGGCGATCCAGCAGCATTGCTATTTCACCGGGCCTAGGTACTGCTCGCAGCCCTAAAGCCTCAAGGCCTCCCTGCGATGCCTCGGCTGAACTTAGCAGCCCCTCTACAAGAGCGGCACAAGCAGCGCGGGCATTCAAGTGGTCAGAAAGAGCAGAATAGCGGGAGCAATTCCCCTTCTTGCTGCATTCGCACTGGCACAAAGCTTTGCGTGCATCCTTCGTAGCATTTACCGATGCTGGATCTTCTGATGTTTCTGCTCCTGGATCTGCTGCGGCTGCTACTGGTGCTGCTGCGGAGTGCCCGCCGGCAAACTGTTCTAAGGAATGGCCATTCAGCAAGAGCCTCAGCAACACTCGTTGCGTCAGATTTGGGCCCCTGCCTCCAGAAGCCTTTCTCACATCTGAGTTCATCCGCAGCAGAAGCAGCATAACCATAATCAAATAAGCAGTGAATAGGCGCATTACGGTGACTTCTCAATGCCTTGCAGTACATATGGCTCCTCCTCTACGGTAATGAGGCCCCCGCAGATTGCTGGAGGGTACAACGCTGAAGAAAAGGGGCCAAAAGATCTTCCTGCTTGGATCTTCCTGCCTTCTTGAACTTACGATTGAAGAGGGCGCACTCTCTTCTGTGCCGGGTCCATGCTGATCTCTGGCAGTCTGTGCTGCAGTACGAGACCACCTTGCATGCGCTACAACGCTTGGCGGAGGCACCCGTCCCCCTTCCTGCAGCTGAGTAGATGTTGCGGCTGTGATCATAAGGGCGGAGGCATCCATCACACGCAGTGACTGCGCAGCTGTTGCTTCTACTGCTGCTGTTGCTGCTGCATTCTTTGGAGGGGCTCGTCGGGAGCAGTAGCGCCCTTGACGCCGCTCCACTCAAGCCCCACGGGCAATCCGGGGCAACTCGCGTAGACCAGACCAGTGGTGAACTTGTTCTAGCCAGAAGCGTGCCCGCTTTTATGAAATCCTTCGCAACAACCCCCGCTCCTCGCCCTTCACCTACATCAGGAAGCACCCGAAGAGACGGGGAAAGGACGCACTGGGGTGGCCGGAGGGAAGCCATAGTTCCCCGCCTTCTCCTGACGCTTCTTTCAAACAACAAGCACAAACCTATCCTTATCGTTTAAAGAGAAAGAGGGAAGAAATGCCTCCTCCTGGCGGTGTCAGTTCGAAAAGGAAAACGAAGGGAATACACTAGCCTCAGCCGGCAGCATGAGTCTACTTTTCGCATTCTATTCTTTTTGTGCTAAAACTTGGCCCCAGAAAACTCCTGTAGCTTGCCGCTTAAACGACCAATCCCCGTTGTTGTCCTTTAGCATATACTCAGCAAATGTGAATGAAGCCTAACGCTAATGGAACCAGATCAGATCGTGAAGTGAGCTGAGGTATCATTCACCTTTATTTATGTGAGTATTTGATAGAATGAATATCCGCGAGTGACAGACGCCCCCCTCACATTCAGGTAAAGGGCCCCCCTCGCTCTTTCGACTCCACAAACCGCTACGGGGGCCCCCCCTTGGTTGTCCTAGTCCCAACGCGCTCCAGACAGAGGCACTTCTCATAGAATCAACGGTTGTTAATTTCGCAATTTTAAGAACGAGGCGTTTACCCTATGCGTGGTAGGGTATACGGGGTGTAAGGAGATCAAACCCGATGCCGAAACTGTTGCTGTCGGTTGTCTCACTGGATCGGGACCTCTGCTTGGCACAGTTTGCAAGAAGCTTAATTAGATCTGCTGAGTAGCTCGTTGCATCATTGTTCTCCTTTCGATGGGTCGTTTTATTTCTCCTTTAAACGGAAGTAGATGCCCACAAAAAAGCCTATAAGATCCCTGGGGCATCTGACTGCAGCGGGACGTCCGCCCTCCACAGATAAGCTACAGCCTGTGGTCTCGTGGCTGGCTCTTGAAGTGTGCAAGCCAGCCATTTCTTGTTCTGCTTGTCGACGCCTGACCACTTTGCAGAGGGCCCCACGGGACTCCGTCGTCTTCTCACCCTTCGCTCCTTTCCTTTCCTCATCTCCAATGAAACCGTGCCGCCTTCAAGGCTAAGACTGGACGTCGTTTGATGGACGTGTCTGTATATATGTGAAAGCGGCTCAAATCTGTAGGAACAGGAGAACGCCGGCTACGAATAGCTGCTGCAGTGCTTGCGCTGCTACCCACTGACAATGCAGGTGACCCGGGTGGACCGCGTGCTCATCAGGTGCCACTGTGGTGAGCCAGACAGAAACTCAAATGAAGCCTCTGGCACTCACCGAAATGCTTCTACCGCGGCGAGACGGAAATTCTGTCCGCATGTTCCCAACCTCCATAAGGGGCTACTGCTGCCCCTGCTGCTGTTGATGACGGGTCTGTCTGCGGCTGTGGAATATTCGTTCGACGAGAATGAAATTGCAAGCACTTCAGATGTGTCTCTTCCACTTCCCCGTCCCTTTGACGCCACCGCGTGTTCTTTCCATCATTTAGCACAACAGCAACACGTGCTGCACGCGCTGCAGCAGTTGCAGTCTTCAACAACTCGCGGTCTGCTGCACGATGCATCAATGGAGGCTCTGTTTAAGGCCACGCATTCCGGCATAGTCGCCGAGGAGGTATAATGCAAAAATACGATCCCATGTTCAATTTCCCCACGGAGGCGCGCTTGCATTGCTGCCGCTCTGCAGCTGGAGCTGCTGCACTTGTGTCTTTCTGTCCCTCGATGCATACTGTGTGTGCTGGATGCAAATATTTCGGGATGTTGGGTCTGTTCTTTACGTGTGTTCGATGTACTGTGATTCTTTTCGTAGGCTGAGCGGTACATCAAGTTCGGGCGGCAAGCGGAAGTAGACGTTAAGCTCAAATTCACGAATCAGGGGACGTCCGCTGTCTCTGTCGTGTTCATCTTGCTGCCTTACTCAGAGGCTACACAGGTATGCCTATGGCTTTCCGAGGCCCTTTAGAGGAGCCCTATCTTGTTCAACCACTCGTCGACCCACCGGCAACGCCAAAGGTCAACGGCCTTGTCAATTTGCATGCGTTTGTCGGCTTTTTTCAGCTGGGATGGATAGCTGCATCCACTCAAGGTGGCAAAGACCTCGCAGTGCAATCTGTGCTCCCGCCCCTACCAAGCATATCTTCTCTTCGTTGGGAGGACTGGGGGCTGAGGCCGCTGCTCTTAGAGCAAGCAGAGCAACATCTCCAAAGGGCGAACGAGGGACAAGGCATCGCCTTTGCCTCTCCCTGCTTTCCTCACCTCTTTCGCGTGCAGCTGGCAGAGCCTCTGCATGTTTCTCAATCTACGGTGCTAACTGTGTCCTACATTCTTGGTTCGTCACGCACTAACCGCACTCCAGCTCACTGTGTATCAAGTAATCTTCGATTGCAGAAAAGATCAGTGCGATAAGGGAACCTGCACAATATAAATGGCATGTGGGGCGCGGAATTCCAGACGTCGTTCCCGTATTCTGCTGTTGCTTGTTCATCTTCTTGTTACCTGCAATTCACCTATACTCCTGGTGGCAGTTGTTGCTCTATAGTGTCATTGATATATGTGCTACTGATATCTGATGATGTGCGCTTGTTTCTGCTCCGCACAAATGCGCCAAATCTTTGCCTCTCCTATAGCCTGTTTTTTTCTTAAGTTAATGGTGCTCCCCTGCTGCTACTACAGGTCGTCCTTACCGGCCTTTGCCTCGTTCTTTAGACCTTGAGTCGATTCAGTCTGTGGTGTTCGCGACCTCGTCCAACTGGCCCCTTCCCTACAAAACGCTTCGCAGCGTTCTGTCCTTACAGCTTCCCCCCAAAACAACTCTTGGAGAGATGGGAGAGCGACACATGCAGAAGGTGAGGCAACGAGGCGCGGCATCAGGGCTATGCCAAAGGGACTGAACGAGGCCAAACACATTTTGGTGTAGCCGTGTCTTATTGGCCTGAACTACACTCAGCTGGTGATTAGTAAAGTATTTTAGTGGTACCTCAAGAGTGCATACAGCATACAGCCAGAATGCGGTCTCTTGGAATGCAACTCAGCTATGGCGGGAAGAAGGTTGCACTTGTTCCCTTATGCCGACGTAATGCTCTCTTCCATCTCTTGGTATGTCCGTAGCATATGGTCTGTGGTTTCGGTTGCTTATGCTGCTTTTGGGACCTTAGAAGTCATTTCGCAAGCTTCCGGGAGAGGTGTGGAAGTGGGAGTCGACCAAACCCATTGATCCCTTAGTGGTCCAGCAGCCGTTCGCCGTCATATTTCCCCTACCACAGCACCTCGGTTATGCCTTAACGATGGAGCGATTGCTGGTTGCTCCTCTCAGCGGCTCCGCATTCTGTAGGGAACTCTACAAAGTCCACAACGATGCTGCACTACAGGAGGTAGGCCAGGAGCGCTATTTGCCCCAGCGATATCACAAACAACCAAACTGAATATCTTGAACTTCCTCCCCAAGAAAATAGGGGGCGCTTGGCAAGAGGCGGGCCTGAATATCTGCATCATGCCGCGTGCAATTGCTGGGCGATAGTCCGAATTCTGCATTTCCGCCTTTACCCGTAACGCTGCAGTGTTAGCGCCTTCAATGCCAACTAGCACAGAGAATAAAACGTCTGTCATAAGGTTTCTGCCCTTTTTGTATGAGGTTGTGTATGGCTGATTCAGGGTGCATTCAACCCTGTCACTATTGCACTATTGCAAGGGCTGCCACCAGGCATTTCGCGGCTAGCCGCGAAGAGCAAGGATGTTCCGCGAAGTGAACCCGTGCCAACGCATGTGTTGTTTGACTTGCATGCAACATTGCCGCCGGATGTCTTCAATTTAGATGTGGGGGACTCAGCTGGGAACTTGACCAGTACTTTTGCAGCCCGCGACGGGCCTAAGGAAGCTCCTCTTTCCACTCACCTTGAGGTGATCAAGTTTAGTATTTGCAAGAGCTGCCACAGCTGTTTAAGTCAAACTCTGCATGTGCAGCCAAGCCTTTGTTTCGAATTGGTTACTTCATTATGTTAATTTTTGGCTCCCAACCATTCTTTCCTTTGCCTTTTCGCGACGGGGACAAAACTGTATTCTTCCCATGTTTTCTTTTTCAAGGGAAGCGAGGAGAGAAATGTTTAAAGCACTACGTTTGCTGGGTAGCTATTCTTCCACGCTTTTTCGAAAACAGTATTGACTTAGGGGCGGCACGTACCAGGATAGCACAGAGTTAACAGGAAATCATGATGCATTTTTTTCTATGATGCGCTGAGCAGGTGTGGCCTAGATTTCCGGTGCTTGGAGGGTGGAATTTCGATCTAAATGTGTCCTATGACATGCCAGTTAGTTCCCTGATGCTGCAGCATGAGTTCAAAGGCAACACTGTCTCCCTGAGCCTTCCACTGGAGCCGCCCTTCCTGGATTTGTATGTTGAGCATATCTCTCTCACCGTTCTGTTACCGACAGGTAAGGATTCTCACGAGTGCTGCGCTGTTTGGTACTTATTGGTCCTCTCGCGGTGCGCGGGACACCATACCATGGCCTCGCGCTTTGGGCGGAGACTTTGCTACTGACTGACGCGCGTTTGTGTCAGGCGCTACTAACATCCGGTATTCCTCTCCAATCGACTTTGAATCTGTAGAGGAGATGGCCGTCAAGTGGTGGCTCGACGTCGTCACATCGAGGCCAGCCTTGCGGCTGAAGTGGCACTCTGCTTCTCCTACTCCAACTAAACACAAGGGGCGTTCTTTGACAGTGACCTTCGATTACCCGTACTCGGTGGATTTGGAATACCTAAAGCAGGCATTTGTCTTGCTTCTCCTTCTACTCATTTTCGCTGCAGCAACTGCGCTGTACCGCTGGAAGTTTAAGTGAGGGGTGCTCTGTCCTTTACCTCGATTTTATGTTCCAACGCGTTGAGGCATTGCTATAGGGAGGTGTCTTCTTTTATCGGAGAGTCGTACAGCTTCTGAAAGTGGTAAGTATGTTCTTTAGGCGGCTTGTGCTTGAACTATTTTGTCCCTTTCTTGCTCAGACTCTCCACTAAGGAGGAGGCACCGGCTGCAACATTGCACAGCGCATTCGAGCAAGTGCAGAAAGAGCTGTGGAGCAAAACTGAGGCAGCCATTCATGAAGGGCGTAAGTGCAGGCTGTGTTGCAGCAGCGTCTCTATGAAGACACTGCATCTCTGGATTTAGAAAAAATGCAGAGTAACCAACAACTGTGTTTAGCTACCATGCTGTGCACAAACAATTTGCCCGTGCTCAGGCGACTACATGAATTGCGTGGCCAGTAGGTGGGGGGATTCGCATATTAACTTGAGGCAGAAAAGGATGCACGAGCAAGAACGTTGGATGGAAAGCCTGCGTCAACGTGAGGCCGATCTTCTTGCTTTGTTAGAGACGGTCCCTGAGTCCAATTCGTCAGTCATCGCCTTCAAGGCGGCCCTGGAGAGGCACCGTGAAGCCGTGGGGGCATTTACTACATCCTTGTCCAACGACTGCAAGGTGAGCAGGCCACATGCCTAAAAACTGTACGCGTAACGTCCGTTTGGCCCTCAAGGCCCACCTCGGTCAAGGGATAGGCAATGCAGCTCACCAGTGAAGGCAGCTATCCCCTGCTTCCTCTACCCCTGATAAGTTTCTAACTTGCTAACTTTTTCTTAGTTATTGCGAATGATCAATTGCGCCAGGGGCTCGTCGCACCTGTGTGCAAGGTAAGCTATATATTTGATATGTGTATATCCATAAGGGATGTCAATACAAGTGCACAAATGCTGGTTGAGAAGTGTCTACGCTGGCCTCTGTTCAGGAGAAGGTTGAAGAAGCTAATCAGGAAGTCGAAGCGTCCGCTGCGCATTTGCGGGCGTTGGCAAAAGGTTGGAAGGGTTCACGTTTAAAGCAGCACGAGGCTTAATACTCGGTTTTGTTGCTGCATTGCTCTTCCGAATGAATTTTGACAGACTTGTGTGCATGCATGCATACCTGCAGCACGGAGTGTCATTAGGAAAGCTTCCACACCAATGCAACGGCATTCACATGGTGCATCGATGCACGCCGTATGCAGCTTGGGTGGTCGCGAACCAAGTTTGCACGATAAGGGCGCGAAAACAACTAGAGGGATAACGATTCATGCGTCACGTCACTTTTCTGCGTATTGACTATCCATTTCCATAAGAGCGATGCGTGGGGCAGCAACCCATTAGGGCCGCACAAAATTAAGCAGCGTAAACACATAACTGTGGGTGGCAAGGGGAGTCTCAATACAGTTCTTTGAGTCTCACAGGCCTCAACAATTCCGCGCACCTTTAATTGAGGGGTTTTCTACCTCAATATGCCAATAAAGCAGAAATAGACGACAAAACGAGTGTCAGGCATTCACAAGGGTAACGTAAACAATAGTACACATACGAAGCTAGGTAATCAACAATGAGCGCATTCATGAAAAGCTGCATTTTGCCTATTCTGCATAGCAACGGACGCCTTTGGCGGCGCTTGCTCTACAGAGATATCAGGAGCTCGTTGGGTTCGTCGTCGTTGGCACGGACGAGGCGGGCGTTCTCTGCGCGTCACACAAAGGTAGCTAACAGTGATGCACTGGATTCGCTTCGCAGTGAGACATGGAGTGATTTAATGGAGTTTGGAGTGCACTGAATGCTTTGGACAAGCACAAGCATCTATTTCTTCAGGCCGGAGCTCTACTGACGGCGATGAATTTGAAACCAGAAGGAAGACCTCACCTGCCCAGATGCCGACATGCTCTCTTCAACAGGGCGGGGTTCGCTCCCCTCCATATCTCTGCTTGCTGATGAAGTGTTTCCGACCGGGTGATTAACGAGTGTGGACGCCGCAGGGGGCATAAGCCTGTTAGCATTGGTGGAACATCGAAGGACACTAATCGCAGCATTGAAGCCTATGCGATCCATTTCTTGGCACGCAGTATCCGAGCTGGTGTGTGCACAACGTACTTAGCATTGTGGAGTGGGAAATCTCGAGACCAAAACCACTGGGCGAATTCCCTTTCAGAAGAGTTCAACATGTCGGACTGCTGGAGCCAAACTCCATTCGCTTCAGCTACCGCCTGAGAGGAAACATTGGTTTCTACAGTAAACCAGATATGTGCGTTATGCCTTGCTGTGGAAAGAGCGTGCCGAGAGAACTACTTGAGGTAACCGTTTTCGCATGCTCACTCGGAGAGTTTGTAGGTACTGCAGGCAGCATGCCTGACTACGAGCAGCGGCCGCGATACTGCTCCACACGGAGGTCACCTCCTGCAAATTCATCGCACGGATGCAGCTGCGAGTTTCCGACTGTAGATAATTGCTTTTATCAAAGCAAACGCGCCGCGTACAATCCATGTTGATGGCTAGAGGCAAAAGGGTTTAATTGCGGTAAGTAACTTCTGGATTCTTCACTCAAAGAGCAAGGAGAACTCACTGTGTGCCTGGCCAGGATGCTAGCAACAACTCCGCGGAGTTCACGCAGCCTGCCCAATGTATGGGACAGCGACTGGTCCATCTGTGGCTCCGCCATGGCACGAATAAGCTGCTGCTCCACGAACGCCAAATCCTGACTCATCGTGTGGAGCTGCAGTGGATATGCAACAAATATTCAAATGGGCATAATATTTGCGAAGTGTCAAGTTAAGTCAAAATATCCTGTCCTTGCCATTCCAAACTAAGCATCGCGTACTCTGCGTTCATGAGAGGCAATCGCGTGCTCCATTGGTGAATGCAGAGAAGTAGGAAACCTTGTGGAACCTGAGCCGCAGGACCGCACAGAAGTGTCTGAACACCCTTGAATCAAAGCATCACGCAGTTATAGCCTCCGTAGACCACGAGAATAATTTTCTCACGGAGGGGAAGGCAGCATTCCTTACTTTACGGGACTTGGGGATGTGTGATCACGCTGCGGTGCCCCTAGCCTCGTGATGCACAGAGGATATTCGTTGACCCTGCGGACCTGTGGTCGCAGAGTGTCCAGGAACCTGTAGTAGCACGTCATGCAAACGAATTCAAAGGGGTTACACCTAGGGCGATAGTGGGGAAATATCTGGAAGAGCTTTGAGGCCCGATTCACAGCAAGCCTGGCGGTGGGGTTGTACACGCATTGGCGGGCAGCAATCGCACAATGTTGCAGTGGCAAATGCCTCCATAACGTCCCACATATCTGCATTTTGACTCCAGTGATAAAAATGATAAGATGGGCAGCATGCGAAGTTTAGATCTAAAGCTCTGAAGGTGCAAGGGCAGAGGGCGAGCATCTGGATGCACGCCTTAACGAGGGGAGTGTCTTGCTGGTTCCACCCGCTCATTTCAACTATTTACCATTCCAAAAGGTCCAACATAGTGTAGGTCTTACATATATTGAACGAAAAACCGCCTTGGGCTGAAATTTATGCAAGAATCAGCTGCCGAGTGGGAGGGCGTCGTCAGCGGACCCAAGGCCCAGCGGCGGAATATCCGGTCTCTTCCGCATAAATAACCTATAGGAAGTATCAGATATAATATATTTCAAATAAAAAGGCGAAAACCGGCTAAACGTTGAGAAAAAATGCTCCGGTAGATCCGAGTGCCCGTGGGGGGTACCAGCGAAGCACGGTGGGGTTGGAGCAGTGGGGCAGTGCAGACCAGCGGCGGCTGGTTGCCTCTGCGTTCCTGCAGTCTTGCTGCCTATTAGAAATTTCAACAGGCATTAAAGATAAGTAGAGCATGCTAGCCTAAAACAACGCTCTCCCCACAAAATTGCGGGCATAGTTGGGCGCCGCTTGATTCGGCATGTTGGTCACCTTTCGCATTTGCTAATGTTGGTCACCTTTGTGGGGTCGATGATATGAATGAAATGCACTGAAGTTTCCCTTCGTTGCTTAAATGGTGCCCTCTGTACGTTACTGAGGCAGTGAGCAAATACGTATGTCACTCTACATGTACATCGTTACAGACGATGAATGCATCCTGTAGCTGTAACGCGCGCAACGGTAGTCCTGCGCTTTAGCTGTGGACCTTTGTGAGATGCAGTACAATCAGAAATACTGGTTTGAAAACTCATGAGAAGTAGTTGAGCGCCTCTTCAGTCTCGAGGTGGCCTGTGCACAGCTGCGCAGGCCCTGGAGATGGTGCAGAGAGAAGGCAGCCTGCCAAGAGTTGCAGCACTCCTTGCTGCACCCCCTGCGGCAAGGTTACCCTCGATGTAAACACGCGGGAAATCCGCATGTAGCACGCATGTGTCGATACAATGGAGTATGGCAAAGCATTATTTGCGACGCCGTGTTTGGAGCCGTGCATTTGCTACAGGGGATGGGGGATGGGGGGTGGGGGAGCTGCTCAAAATAAGACGCCGTTCTAGACCGACGATTTTTGCATGTGGGAGCAAACCTGAGCAGTGGCCAACCCATTGCATGAGTATGGTTTGGCGCCTTGCCGCCAGCAACAGCAAAATGGCAGCGACAGCCTTGATGTAACTAGAGTCCTTGACCTTATCCGAAGGCTTTCGTGATGTGGAATATAGCCTGAAGACCTAAAGTAAGGGTTCCTAAAAAAATACACTTTTTCCCCTTCAGTCCTCAGACGTTCTAAGCCGAACGACCTGGGACCGGTGAAGAGGCGGCAGCCTGACATGAGTTGCTATGTCCCTCGGTGCAACTAGTGTTGCAAGGCACATTCACATGCAAGCACAACCAAATCTCTCTTTGCTGTCTGTACTAACACTGTAGATGATTGTGAGTTTGCTTGAGAGCAGGTTGCCTACTAAGGCCAACCACGTGTTTACGTACCAAGTACGAAAACACTCTGCTGCATCTACCCCCGCTTGCCCCGCAAGCATCGTGCGCTCTCGTATGCTCAGTATCCGCTAAACGCCTTTTTTTTGGTTTGAATCATTTTGCTAATTCGATGCCTGCCACTGCTGCGCATGTAGCTCGTCTTGCTGCTGTGGCGCATTGCCTGGGCTTCTATGGCACATTCCTGACTGGAGCGAGAACAGCCGAATTCCATGTAAACACTCACCCAGGGTGGGACTATTATCCTGTCGAATAGAAAGATTGTCTACTTTGTTATGAAGCACCTCCCTGTTGAACCTATGGTACAAACTCCGCGTACGGCACCTAAACCTCCTCTTTCGGCGTCTTGCCGACCTTGAAGCCCTCCCTCTTGCAGCTGCGCGGCTTGAGGCTGCCGAACTCGTTCAGCTGCAGCACAACGGACTCGCCAATCGGAGCACTCAAGCACAACGCATCTTAACCCCTCTACGCCAGCTTCTCGTGGAAAGGGAAATTCGCCACTGGCTGCCGCGCGCCGCTAGTGACGTAGGAATTATGTTCCTGCCCTCCATCCGGTCCGCTCAGGTCTTGACAAGGTTCTTTCTTACGGGTCTAAAGTTTTGGCTTTTTGTAGGGTTTCGCTGAAGAAATCTAGAGGGGCGTCCGGCGTGCAATTGGGGATCACTGCGCCTTTCTGCTTTTTTCGTTTGTGCTTTTGCTGTTTTGTTGTTCGGGCTTCGAAAGGTCGAAGGGAGCGCAATCTGCCCAAAGGGCTTTGTGCTTAAGTTTCCTGTCGACAGCAAAGCGTTACGCCACCAAGTGTTCTTCCTAACCGTTCGGCAGGAACTTGCGACAGAGCTGTTTTCTTATGCTGGCGCTGTCACCTCGGTGATGCGCATCCAGCGAGGTTCCTGCTTGTTAAGCTCTTCCTATTTGCGTGTGGGGTCGTCGACGTTTGTGACTTCTTGTCGTCTTTCCCTTCTTTCTGGGCCCAATATAGCCTCCAAAACCGTACAGATTGCTGCCCTTTCTCTAGAATGACCACATGACATCCGTACCTGTGGCTTCCCTGCGTGCCTGTTGGCGTAGGTGACTGAGTCCAGGATGATATTGTCAAAGGAAGCCTTGAGAACGCCTTTGGCAGCACGCGATCCCTCCACTGAGTCCCCCGCGGCATGCTTAGGATTGTCGCAATGAATTGGTGAAGCATGAAGGTCCCACATGTTCTCCGTCGACGAAGCGCAGTTGCAGCGACTACTCCAAGGAATATACCAATAGTTTTTGCTCCTCCTCGCAGTAGCTTCAGATATCAAATCGATTTCGTCGATTGTGTCAAGTAATGCTAGCAACTTCTGACCGTTAATATGGGCTTGGATAAGCACAAAGTTAGATCAATACAGATCTGTCCGTGCGCCCATCACCCCCCTTCAGCCACATCACTGCGTTGCAATTTGCACGGGGACCAGACAGTTCCTTCGATCGCTTTGTTTTTCTCCTGGTGACGCTTTTAGAAAGTCCTGATTTGATCCTCGGGCATGGTCATTATGCTTGGTTGTTGCAAACAAAGCAGGTGCGCTGCTCGATACCACCCATAGCTTCTTGATTGCTGAACTCACCACCTGGTGTCTTTCTCTGGGAGGGTTGGTTTGCACAGTACCAACGTCGATAGGCGCTATATGTGGGCTTTTCCGTCGCTCTCTGCTACGTAGGTTCTAATGGCTTTTTGTGTGGTTCACTGCTAAAGGACTCCTAATCCCCGCGGCTTCCACTGTTTTAGCCTTTATTTCCTTCCCTTTTGCTCAGCCAATTACTGATTGCCTCTCTACAAATGAAAGCACTGCTATAAACGAGTCGCATAAAGGGTAAGAGTTCAGTATTAGGCTTCAGTTCAGCGAAAACGGATACTTCTCAGTGCAGTACTCTATCGATAGCTTCTCTTGCTTAAGTTTTCTTATCTCTACCATAGCATGCTCTCTTTCCTCCTTGCAAATAAACTTACGTCGTTGCGCGCGCTGGAATGTTCCATAGTCCGGGAGTGCTCCGCGACTCGGGTACTCTTAACCAGCCAGTATAATCGGGCTTCTCGTAATATGGAAGAAGGCAGTAGCGACAGGATATTTTCTGATGTATTTTGAAGACGAAAGTCTACCTCCGAAGGTGCGAGCGGCTCCTTCACTGAACCCGCAGCACCGCACCTGCCTTCTTCTGGCGGTTGACAAAGGCAAAGGCATTCTTAGCTTGAATGAATTGTTTTCGCTGCAAAGAGGTTTTTCAGGTACTGCGACTAACTGTTGCTCTTGATAAGCCTCATGCAGGGCCGAGAAGACGGTTGACTATGTGAAAGAACTTTGGGATAACGCCCAAAGTTCTTTTTCCTCACGGCTTCCTCAGTCCTAATCAGTGATATGCACCAGAACGGCCAGATACTGTTGTGGGGTACGTTTTTCCCACCTGCTGCAACAAACCTTGCAATGCCACAAAGCGACATGAAGGCTATCCGCTGATCTTTGCACAGCACCGTCGTGAGCTGCGTACAGTCAAAGACTCACGAAGAGAGTTGCCAAGAACCAGCTGGCCTCCCATGCAGTTTGGAACTGTCCTGAGCAGAGCAGCACAACGTGGCGCTGGTGCGTGAAGGAGGCAGCCAGTTCTAAGTTGCAGCACACCTGGGTACAAGTCCTGTCGCAACTCCACATGCAAGCACAACCAAGACCTCCTTGCTGGATGCACTAGCACTTTGTCCAACTGCCAAGCGCTTGCTTGGCCATTAAAAGGAAGCATGCAGGCGAGTAGAAATAACGTACCGCCTCCAGACATACTGTGCTAGAGGCAGCCAAAGATGTGCAACGATGGCGTAGGCGAAACGGAACCTACGCTGGCCACAACGTTGAAAGCGACACAGAAATAAGGGGTTTCTTTATATAACTCCAAATGCCTTCTATTATTTGCTAGTAAAAATCAGCGAGACCCGACTACAGTGCTCTGCCTGAAGCTGGCGTAGACAAGAAGACCGTCCTAACACTATGCCTTTTGAGTGCTGTGGTCTCATGAGATGGAATGGGATGTGGAAGGCAGTGAATTGTCTAGAAGGGGAAAGGTGATAGAGATTAAAGCCCCATATTAAGTTGAACAGCCTCCAAAGAATGCGATGAGCGTCGGGGGCTGCGAGCAACCCAACCCTCCCCTGAATGCTTGCACTGGCCAGGTTGTGCCTGTCTCGGGTACTGCGTTCGAAAGTCCCTCCGTAAAACCTTGTGCGGTTTTCTAAACAATAAATATACGTCCATTTGTATGCGCCAGAGTCTGGTTTGCATCAACGGGCGCCGCTTCCAGTCTCCCCCGCACGCGCCGACCTTTCGCCAACAGTGCACTCTGTGCTCTCGAGAGCTTCGTAGGCGAAGCACGGCCAGCTCCAGACAAAATGGCGGGGAAAGTGGACAAGACGAAGAAGCTGGAGCCTGTGCCCAAGCCGGATGAGAAGCTCTACAGGGACCGCATCCAAGCTGAGACAGCGGCCATTGATGAGTTGAGGGCTAAAATCGTACGTCGGCTGTCCTTTTCCACGGGGACTCACCGCGTTCTACAGTATTTTTTACTCTCCTTTGCGATGCCGGCGTAGTCGGCGGAGCAATAACCATCGAAATCACATGCATTGCCCAGAAGCAGTTGCCGGCATGCGAGTAGCACGAAACACCAGCTTCTCTCCACTAATAGGGCCAGGATATCAACCAGTTTGAAGCGGCCTGTGCAAGGGCGGAGAGTACATGGTGGGGGGTTGTGGAGTGCACACGTTCTTCTGCATCCAGCTTTCCGTATCCGTAGTCCAGGCGACGCATGCAAACGGCGCTCGGCTAGTTATACGCTTCTCGTGTGTGTGGGATATTCGGTGCATGATAAGAACTACTGCTTCGAATTCGCAGGATACCACGTATTATCTTGGTGATGATGTTCTGTGCCTAGAGGTGTATTTCCTCCTGAGTTCAACATTCTTATGACTTTTCGTTCAGAGTGAGCTCCAGCAGAAGATATCCGCCGTCATAGGCGGACGGGAGGAGTACAACATGGAGAAACAAAACAGGCAGGCACGCCTTGATGCTCTGCAGGTAAACACGTGACCCTTCCGTACCACGAGGCGTAAACTGGCTTAGAAAGCAGCATCCTTTCTGAGCCATTATCTCCCCAGATGTGCATGCTTTGGCCATCAGAAGGAAATCGATCAGCTGGAGGAAAAGCGCAAGGTTTTATTTGAAAAGATCCAGTTGAAGCAGAAGGAGGGCGCCGATTTGGTAAGGTTGTACAGTGTAGTAGTGCATCTGTGCAGGTTCCTTTGCCTGTGATCAGTTGTCTTTGTTTATTCTAATAAACAGATGGAAGGCAACTTTCCGCTTTCGCTTGGTCCTTTTATGCTGTGCTTTTCAGAAACAATCAGCAACCGATCTGCGGCGTAAAATCGGTTTCTCTTCTCTGGAAGATATTGACCAAAAGGTTGCTGCTTTAGAGCACAGTATGATGACTTCAACGCTTTCCCTCAAGGAAGAGAAACAACTGCTGGAGGAAATCAAACGCCTGAAAAACAGCAAACCGCTGCTGAGCAAGTACCAAGCACTGGAAGAGAGTGCAAGCAGCCTGGAGGATTCATCTGTGGGTAAGTGAACCCGCAGCATGAGTGTATTTGCGTGTGTTGAGTTGGCGTTGCGGCAATATCCTCTTGTTATAGGGTTCCGGGTGTTCATGGTGCTGAGGATGTATGAATATTTATCCTGTTGTCCGGTACTGATGGCTGTCTATCGCTGCTGTGTCAGTTCCGTTGAGAGCAATGCTGGATGAAGTACGCACAAAACTTTTGGAACTCCGCACGCAGAAGCGCGAGGAGAGTCAGAAGTACAAGGAGCTTCTGGAGAAGAGGTAAGGGAGGATCCGCTTGCTGCATTGTATTCTTCTGCTGCTGTTTGTAGAATGCGTACTGTTTGCCTTTTCCTGGCTGCTCTTTGCATTGTATACTTAAGTTGCGGTCTGTAGAATACGTCTCGTTTTGCGGCTTCTCGGGTGCCTTCTGTCTTTCACTTCATTTCTTTTTCCTGGGGTTTATGGTGCTCTGCTCCAGACAGAGGGCAACCGCGCCGGGTCGTGAGATGATTGAAGAACGAGACCGCTTATCCGCGCAGTTGAACACGCGCTATGCAGCTGTACGTGTTAAGACAATAAATGGCATTATTATTGATGTCCGTGTTTGTAACTGGTGTCGTACGTCCCCTTAAAACGTGATCGTTTCTGTGGAAAACGGTATGCTTGGTGAATGGATGCGCGCATATATGTATATATATACATATATATAATATATATATATAATATATATATATATTATATATATATTAACCTTCGTGTATTTATATGTACACCTTTAGGCCAGTCTTGTCTTTGCCTTGTTTTTCTCAGCGCCGCGAGATTCAAGCGGAATTGACCCGCGAGGTACTGTTCAACACATAGTTTGTGCTGGGCTCTAGCCTATGATCGTAGTTCTTTCTGTTTGGACCGGGCTTTCTAGGAGCACTCTCCACCTGCAGCGGAAGTATATGCCTGAGGTTGTATACTCGCGTCATTGTTTTTCTTTCCTCAGATGCAGAAGCATCAGGCGTACATGCAGGAACTGAGGCGCGAACGGGGTGTCAAGGTAAGATAGGCCCTAAGGATTCCTGCTTACAAGTGCTTTACGCAACCTGCCCATTCGGATTAAGGCATGAATCATTCTCCTGCTGGGTTGCATGTCTGCAAATTTTGCAGATGAGGGAGGAGCGCGAAAGACGTAACTTGGAAAACGAGCGCTATCAGCTCTCGCGCGATTTGGAACGGGTGGAGTCAGAGTTGCCCTACGAAGCAGAATGTTTGCTGCTTACCCAGACCATTCAATACTTGCGGAAAATCATCGAGGAGCCGGCGGCCAACGGCGTTGAGAAGGAACAGACAGAAGAGGTGGTGGATGAGAGTGTAAGCGAGAAAAGTGTTTCTTGGAGTACTGAATTCCGAAGACTTGTGCAGTTAAAATGTGACGATTGGTACAATGTGCGTGCACATTTCTGCAGCTGGCAGGTGCCCTTCTGCCGAAGAGCCAGCGGAAGGAGGTCTTTTTCTACGCCCCGAAGCAGAAGGGTAAACACGGAAAGGACCATGAGAAGAAGAAGGAGAAGCCCAAGACGCTGAAGTATGATGTGGGCACCTTGGCCTACTTTGAACAGTGCGGAGTAAGTGCATTCGGCGTTAAGCATCGATTGTTGGCTTCGCAGCTCTCGATTAGTGCTGCGAATGCCAACATTTTCTGCCTCGAGATGTCCCTTACTTGTGACCAGCTAACGGCGCCAGTTTTTTTGGACGATGTACCTGCGTGCCTGGGGAAACTTGAGGCGAAGCTGGACCACTACAAAGGGTTGCAGCGTGAAAGCACCCAGAAGGTTAGCTCCTACCAGTGACACGGGATCGGCAGTTTGTACTTGTTTGTCCTCCGAAATACTGTGTAGTTCTTAAAGTATTATTTTATTGTATAGATTTTTTGGTAAGATTGCGTTTCTTTTGAATGGCTGTCATGTTTGGCTTGGAACAGGTAGATGAACGCAAGGCGGAAATCATGGCAAAGATTGAAGTGGTGAATGAGAAGATAGCGAGTCTCGTGAAGAAAGAGAAGCTGCAGGATGATCGAGACGGTGAAACTGCTGACGGATCTCCCACCGCGGAGGAAGGCGATGATGAATGAGCAGATACTTGCACATTGGCTTTCACGATTGCCGAGTCAAAGTGCACTGACACCTGAAAGTCTTGTTCTGGGTCTTTACGCCGCAAGGCACCTGCCACTTGAGGCAGCTACTTGTTCGACTAGGTTATATGTCTTTGGTGCAGACGCCGGAGGCAGTTGGTGGATAATAACCTCTCTGACTCCCTTGAACGTTTTGCGCCCTAGTGCGTGCAGTCGCAGCTCGCGCCAACTTTCTCTGTGGGCTTGGGGGTAACGAAGAAAACCAAATCAATGCGAACTAAATTAACTGTTGATGCGCGGTTATTCGCTTTGACAGCCAAATCGAGATAAGGCGTGCTGGCCCCACCTGGCATAGCAGCGCCAAAGGCTCCGGCATACAGCTCTGTAGCCTGTTCAATATTTGTCGCTTCGGGTATCCTAACACTTTATAGTGGTAGTGCTCACCAGATTGCCGTTCTTCGAGGACAGGGCACACGCAACCGAATAAGGAACTTCTTGGAACATGTACCACAAACTGGGAGTAGTGGAAGTGAATAGGACGGACGCTACAGTCGTAGTTGGAGCAAATTGAACTGAGGATCGTGCAGCTGTTTCCTGCATTTCCTATGGCTGCAGCTGAACTGGTGTATGCGCCGGTGTGTGGGGAGGAGACCCGCTCTTGAATTTATTAAATTAAAACCTCTATCCAGATTAGTCCCTACCAATTTCCTGCTTGCTTCGTTATAGATTCGTGGGGTTCGTGCATGTAGCGTCAGCGTGAGCAAGAACGCATGCATGAGAAGCATTGAGTTTAACAAAAATTGTGCCTTCCAACGCTTAAATGGAGGTGTAACCTACCCACATCAGCATTTATATACAACTAAATAGACTCATAGACAGCAACTAAAACATCCGGTGACCCGGAATCGAACCAGGGACCAACAGATTACCGCAGCATCTACAGTCTGCCGCTCTACCAACTGAGCTATCACCGGTGATTGAGAGCGCTGGAAGCAGAGTGTAGACGAGAGAACAAACCAAATAATCATTCCTTCACTCTTCTACCTGAAGTTTAATTTAAAACACAAACATTTATGGCCTATTTAAGCGCTTTACCATGATCGCTCCCCACAGCCCTCCCATAAGGCATACTTCCAGTACGTTGTGCGGAACTCTGCAGGGCGCATGGTAAAGCAGCCCATTGAAATTGTTCTGAAAGAGGAATCCTTGTTATGGACGCATTATAACAAAATAATAATAATGGCAGTGAGTTCTCGATGCCTGCAGACTGTTCATGCTGCGTGTTTCGTCAGCGGCCTTGTCTGGGAGTTTGATCGTCACTGTTATCTGCCCGAAGACAAACTCCATTTGTTCTCCCTCGAGTATTTGCTGTAAATAGAAAGCAACGAGTGTTTTTATTGAAATTTCAAAAGAGCGTGCTCTTTGCGCATCCGCGCCTCAGTTAAACTGCCTCGTCGCTGAGCAGGCTGCTCTCTCATTACTTATACATTTCGTCGAGGTAGAAGGAATTGCATGGCAGAATAACCCGAGTGGGGGGCTGCCTTATTCATTTTGCATGTATTTTGCCGTCAATTTTTATAATTCTACGGAGATCACCTCCCCAATGCTCTGAGCTCGCCTTGAAGGACCGCCAGGCTTGGTGCCTGTATACAGATCAGCACACACCATGACGGCAAACGAACCTCCAGCAGGCGGAGGTGCATCCTCTTTGGCAGCTGAGGCAGAGGAGGTCTACCGTCAGCGGCAGCAGTTGGAAGAAAGAATGGAGGCGCTTGCGAGCTTCCTAACTTCAGAAGGTAATACCACTTCTCCATAGAGGCCAGCTTGGTTTTTTTCTGCCTTCTTAGAGGGGCTATAGCTCCTTCCTACCCTACAGAAGGCAAACTATGAAGGAAGGTGCTGCTTGCAGCACCTTCCATTCATACACTACCATTAGCACAGACATCGAAGGAGGGTTATATGAATAGATATTGGCGGCGTTCGCGTGAGAGGACTGGTGCGCGCATGCATCAGTTTACTTACACCGTATCCTGTTTGCGCATGACTTTGTGGGTTATTTTCCTAGGTATGCCAGGCCTAGACGGCCCGTTAGTAGACGAAGAAGGCTTCCCTCGTTCAGATATCGATGTGCATGCAATACGCGACGCACGGCATCAGCTTGCGTGCCTTAAGACGGACTATCGGGAGCTTCAGCGACGCCTTGAAGATATTCTCTTTCGTATTCATGGGGGAGCTGACAGAAGAAATGCTGATGATCAGCCAGATGCCGTTTCAGGTGGCCACCAACAACGAACGGAAGAAACATCAAATCAACAACAGGAACAGCCTCCACGACTACTTGAAGGTAAACGACTAAAACTCTCCATTTTCCCAATTTCGATTTATTTTCTTTCGTATTTCACTGTATGTTCATGAGCTGTCTGGAGCAGTTGCATGCTCGCCGCGAATACAGCATACTATAACTGTTTGTGCGCGCCGGCTTTAGGATGCTGCTGCTTGGTGATGTTACTCTGTATTTCTGCTGAATCTATTTGCAGACGAAGGACCAGCATTTGCCGTGGTGGACGTTGTCCACCCAGGAAGCCCCAGCAGTGCTGCTGGAATTGTGGCCGGAGACAGACTCCTACGTCTGGGTTCTCTGCGCTTGTCACCTACTCAGCGTAGATCAGAGGTCAGTATAGGGGGCGTTTGTAACGGCGTTTCTGCCGCTACAACCCAACAGACGCGCTCCTTAACTGTAGCAGAGATATTTCAAATGCTGCCTGCAGAAGTGGCGAACCATGAGAACGAGCGGGTGGCTGTTGTGTTGCAAAGAGGGGGCCGTATCCTCCCTCTGTGGCTAATACCGAGGCGGTGGCAAGGTAGGGGCCTTCTTGGATGCCACTTAAAGCCGTTGTAGTTGAACTGATTGATAGCCCTTTTGGCTATCAGTTGAAGCCGCCTTAATGGAATTGATTTTAAGCTTTCTTCGCCTTCATTCGAAGCTGCTTTAGTTAAACTGAGTAATAGCGTGATAGCCTCGCCGCCCAGCGCAAAAGCAGATGGGGAGTATAATCTCCACTTATGCTGTTTTGAGATTAGAGTCGAGCTGCCTGTACACCTGAGCAACAGGCCAGGAGGTCTCATATATTACTGCTCAACCGTTGAAGCCAGAATAATAAAAGTAACGGAAAGTAACGGCGTATTAAAACGCTTCCGCAAGTGCGTGCGTCAGGTGTACTCAAGCTTCAACTTTCAAGGTAGGGCTTACGGTGTAGGGTTTAGGGCTGGATATGGGTAATGGGTAGAACGGAACTTTTATGCAATGAAGGAAGACCCTAGTCAGGCGGCAGACACTGCTGAGAAAAGGAAGAGGGAGAGAACTTGAAAAAGAATTGAGCTGAGCTCATTCTGCAAATGGCCTCTTTAGCCACTTGCACCTTCCTCCCCCCCACGTTCTTGTTGCATGTTTTATAGAATATTCGACTTATTAGACGCCTGCACCTTTTGGTCAAAATGTTTTCAGCTGTATTGATTGCCAAACACAAGGATAAATGCGAGGATAATTTGTTAGATGCACGTAGCCTGATAAACCCAGCAGCCCATAAGTTCAGCTTAACTAAAGAAGCCAGCATTCTTTTGTTTTTACCTTCTGCCGCTATGTAACAATAGACACTCGGTTTTCCATGCAGCGTGACAGGAGTACTAACGCCCTTGGTATTCACGTTATTTATGCACTGTTTATTGAATATATGTATAATATATATACATATGGTGATAGTTGGGTTCATATAGCCACAGCGAAATGGCTGGAGGGATAGATGCCCCCTGCATCCCTCCTACCTTGCAGCAGAGGAATTTGAAGTGTACAGCCCAGAAAAAGGCTGAAGTCTGGGATGAAAGGATATAATCGCCCATAATGTGCATTTTATATTGAAAATGCTCTGTTAAAGAAAACTTGAAAGGTTTCGCCTTTAATACCTGGGAGCAGCAGTTCTTAAATTACACTTTATTCGGTGAAGTGCAACTGCGCACGACGATGCCGGGATATGAAATTTAAAAATTAAACAAGGCATTAATGTTGTTTCACAGTAACATTGAGCTTGACCCAGCATTCAAATGCTAACGGACCGCAAACGTTTCTATTGCTTGAGTGTTGTTCTGGGTTTCTTTTCTCGTTTCAACTAAGTGCAAAACCACATAGAATCATTCGCATTGTTCTTGTATAGAAGAAAAAACTAACCTGCAGAAGGCGTAATTTGCTCAGGTGCGATATTTTCACTTTATGTAATCGTAGTTATCGCAATAGATAAGAAGGGTATAGATAAGGTGAACAGACAAAAGCTGCAACGTCAAATATGAATAACAACTCAGCGGCCTCACTCACCTATATCAATTCCAACGAAATAAAAGAAAGAAGAGCACAAGCTTTGATATATATGGAAAAAATCAGGGGTAACTTGGAGTTTATTTAGGGGAAACTAGCAAAAACTTTGGCTTCTTTGCAGGGAAAATGGCAATAAATCTCCCTATTCCCTAAAAACCAACAACAAATTTGAATGAAAAACAGCAATGTCTTGATTTGACTCGCGCTTTCGATCTAGAAGAACGGAAAGAGGTGCAAGGGGAAGGCATCCTGGGGCTGGTTGGGTTCATGATGTCTGGATATCTTGACAGACCAAAAATAAGATATTTTTGTGCAGCTTCTCATATTATGATCTCTCCCTGATTATGATCTCTCCCTGTTGGAAAACTTTGTTGAAAATTTATTTGGTTTATTCTGTTGGAATTCAGGTCTTGCTTTCCCTTGCTATATACAAGACTGGGGGATACCACAATGTGTTACCGCGTAACCTGCAATGCCTGTGGGAAGTTTACATGGAAAGTCTACACTTATTGAGCACCCAACGCCCCTGTTTTTTCAAAAATAAATTATTGTTTTTCGGCTTATACTGGAAAAGTCTTAAAATCCTATTACGGAATCCTCCGCTGCACGTGTTCATAGCTACTAGCACGCTGATGTCTGTGTGCACGAGACGAGAGTTCGTGTTTCCAGTTAAGAGGGAAAGGAGCATCCATGGTATGAAGTTAGATGATTACCTTTTCATTTAAGACTAAACCAACAACTATAACGAGAGGAAAGCAGTATTTGTTGCACGTATTGTCGTTGGATTCCCGCTTCTGTGCAGGCAAGGATGTGGAGATCATATTGACAAGTGCTTAGATGGAGTACCAATAGAAGAACGCTGCGCCTGTGGAGGACGGGCGAGGACGCAGGCGGAGCATTCGCGTGGATGCAACAATTCCAGCTAAGTGAGAGGCGAACGCAAATTATACTCCCTCCTTTTTGCTTTCTAATGGCTGTAAATGCATGCATGAATGCATGCATGCACACATGCATGCATGCGTACTCGTGCTTGACAGAAACCTGCATCTCATGTTGCATGCGTGCCTTCCCTTGTTAACTGGATATCCTTAAAAAAATATCATCAACTGCAGACGTGCAGGGGGATATCGACCTCGGCGACGGTCTTCTGTCGTCAGTTAAAGAGCACTCAGTTCAGACCGCGGCTTAAGGGGCCATCATATGCAGCAGGCCTTCCAACAGAGTCTACTGCACAGCATCCGCATTCTGTATTAGTGGTTCTTTATGTTAATTTTTTTGTTTCCTTCTTCTGCTCGAAGTGGCACTGTTTTTGCCAACTGAAGGCGTCCCGTAGCCTCATTCAACAAGCAAGGGGCGGCTGGTCGATTGTACTTAAACCCACAACCCTAAACTCTAAGTACATTCTTTCTTTCCCATGTGCTGTAGATCTACAAGTCAAACGAGTGATTATTTCGTTGCATATTCATGTATCACGAGCCTGATGAGCGTAGATGCGTGCGCACGTGGAATAACCGAAGGACGGCTATTATTTTAACGGCAGTAGAACGGATTATGACATTGTTTCCTTTATGGAGAATGCGAAAAGAGTCTTTTTTTGCCTTTACCTTGCTTAATGAGTTCAAGGCGCATGAAGCGCTGTTGATTTCGTAGGATTATTAGAAATAAGCCAGAAGACTGGGGAAGTTACAAAAGTCTCAGCACGGGGAGCTTATCTAAGCCAATGAATAAGGAAGAGATGTCTGCATTTTACTTATACAGGCATGATCTGCATGCATGCACATTCAATATACGGTTACTGCAGTTTGTCAGTCCTTTGTAGCTGTGCACGTAGAAGTGTTTGCTACGATGTAAGTAGCTTTATGAATATATTCTTCTGGATATGTTGGTTAATGAATGCTTGCTAAGGAAGTGTTTTGTAACAGTTCTTAACGGTGTTCGTGAATGAATAGAAAGGTGGCCAGGCCGCTGTGGGTGGTGGTGCCTCTTAACAGCAGGAGTTGCAGCAGCAGACGATGCATGCACTTGAGGAAAAATTAAATCCTTAATTAATTAAATCCTCCATCGCTGCCAGCGTCGGAACATGTGCCTCTGCAGTCAGCCCTCCTGGATATAAGAGAGAGGTCAGCTGCTGTATGGAAACGAATATTTACGTGTCTCTACTCTACTTGTGAATCTCACGCAAACATGTGACTAAGGCATTGAGATATAATATATATATATATATTTATATTTATGCTTATATTAAACCCACACAAATATATACAGTATGCATGCATTACTCAGGTTACTTCCAGTGGGTTGCAGATAGTAGGCGTCAGCAGATGTTTGGATGCATAAACTTGCATGACAGCAAACACATTAAAAATTCAAAAACCCAAGCCCGTGGCGATGAGTATATATCAATTACTTTCGAATAAACATTTCCTGAAAGAGAGACAATGCAATGAATCGGAAGAACTCCGGCGAGTGGTTTCAGATAGCCAAGTGCAATAGGAAACAAACAAAGGGAATTTTTCTGCAGAAAATAAAATGTAATATTATTTTAATGTCATGAACTTGTTTTCGTAGCAGATGTGTTTCTTCCACATTTTGTACTGTTCTTAGGTTAGAGCCATTCATGCCAAGTGGGACCCCCTCCTCCACCAACCGATTGGCAAGAGTTATGCATGAATAATGCACCATTTCTCAGGTAGAAAGCAGCAAAATATCTAAAAATGTCCTTCGATTTGAGGAGAAAACTCAGAAAGCTGAGGTTGGATGGGGTGATCGGTTGGTGGTTCTTCTGCATGCTTGCTTCCTGTTCCTGTACAGCTAGCCGCCTGTTCCTGTCGCGTCTGTCCTGGGAAGCATGCGTTTCCAAAAGTGCACATTTTCTTCTATTTTCAAAGGTAATAGGTATAAAAATTGAAGGTTTCAATTGAGAAAGGTTATTCTTTTCAACATTTATCCTCCACAGTGTCGAAAGCGTCTCGGACCATCGTCGGTATCAAAGCGGTTTCCACAGGAGGAATCTTCCCTTAAACGCCAGTCCATAGGCGTAATTCAGGTGTATTTCCATTGTATTTTCTGTTAACAACCACGGCGAAAGAGGTTTACTCCCATATAACCTCCACATTCACTGGATCTGACTTCGTCTCGCCTGCCTCCGCCTTCCGAATCGACAATGAACATGCAAAGCGAAACCCCCCGCTCTGAGGTCTATAGAGGACCCCAAGAGGCACGACAGTCTTTAGAATCAGTTGGTGAGTCTTTAGATTCCTTTTATAGTAGGTTTATACCGCCGCTGCCACCAGTCTAATATTCCGGCTTGTACTGGTGCTCCTGGCTGATCAAGAGGAATATCGCATGCACACTGTCTTGTTACAGCGTACATGTGTTGTTGTTTTACTGTAGTGGCTCCTGTACCTTGACAGTTTTTATTGCATTACTCACACTGCGCATAGCAGAATCCTTTTGACTCTTTTTGATTAGAATTGTTTAAAGTTGTGCACAGTGTAGGGGGAAGTGTGGATGTATACATGCATGCACACATG